AAAATATATTGATTTGTCAATGTGGCATAGCAAATGTATCAACATCGCTTTTTGTTTAAATTCGCATTGCAATGATAGAACAACGTCGGAAGCTAAACGAAAAAGTTTCTTGGCAACATTTCTGTATGAAACATTGTAATGCCAGTAATTGAAAAGAATCGCTGTTTGGTTTAGTCTGAATCTTTTAACTGTGTCTTAAACCAGACCGTCTTGAACAAATTTATCGGTCAGAATAAATGTCTGAGCTTATTGGTAACGGCAGTTAACTTAAAGAGCGTTTAGAACTTCTAAAGGTGCATCTAACGTTTTGAGCAGTTAACAAACTTAAAAAAAAAAAAACAAATTTTGCTTGCTCATACCTGGTTATAGGGCAAATTTTTTATTAAAATAAAAGATTTTCAAAGGCAATCACGTCCTCGCCGAGCTTTAGGCTCACCATCTTGATATTCATAATAAAAGGATCACAGTAGGCAACGACTTTGTTCTGATCTGCCTCGTCAAACGTCGTGGGCGTTAATTTATTTTTTTAAGCAGTGAACCAAGTGACAGGTTGGTAAAAGTACTACCAGACCATGATACATAACCTGATCTACCTAACAATGTCGACTGTTAAGCAATTTTTTTTACAAATTTTTCACAAATTACTTTTTTCAAGATATGGACAGCCTAAATCTGTCAATCCACAACTAATCTTTATATTTGTGGGTTACACTATAATCAGCTTCTAAATCGGCCGCTACCAATAAAAAAAAGAAAACACTTTTCGTTGCTTGGGAGTACAGCTTTTTTGCACACAACAATTTCCGATTGCAATTTGTGCCATAAACACCAAGAGTATAAAGACATTTAAAAAGTGAACGAGACTTTCAGGTGAAAATTATGCTTAGACGACAGTAAATGTCATAACTGATCATAGCCTCAAAAATGCAGAACAGGTGTGCGTATGTGGCGACCTGCATCACGTTTCCTATAATGCTCGACTTCGTTTTACCTTTTTAACAAGATTCCCTCTTAAAATATTTTAAATATACTAATTCGTCTTGCACACTAAGACGTCGTTATATTTACATTGCTAATTCCCATTACGATTGATTCCTCCCATAGATTAATAACTCGAAAGATAAGCACAGAACAATAGCGACAGAGCAAATTTAAATCTGTCGGCAACAACGAATCCAATGACACGACTGGGGAACATCAGCAAGTTTGTCCTAACGTTGTACTCCTTGACTATGTTAAAATATCGTTCTCTCATGTGTAACAACGGTCATATTTGTCGTGCCTATTTTTCGCAGAGAAACAGTTCCACTCCGTTACCAATTCCCCGAATCTTGAGGTAGTATCAGGTGGTACCTTCGCTCCTACATGTGACAGGCAGTGTCACCTAATAAAAAGTGAGTCACTGCATTCGTTTCGAAAATGACTGGGGCAATGACAACAGCGCCAGCGCGATGATGACCAAAATGGCAGACAGGCTGACTGGTTGAGCGATCGGCACCGAACTATCTATACAAAAACCAATGGATTACGGGCGGAACGGGCTACTGCTGGGGTACAGAGCGACGACGTAAAACTGCGTCTGTATGTGCGTTATGATCTGATCCATCTAACAACTACGAAGAAGGAGTTCACTGAACCTCCCTTCGATACCATCAACTATAACAACTAAATTATCTTTTCTACCATCGCGCTGCAAACGCCGACCGGCCAACGGCAACATCGTGCTCCAATTTGCTGTGCTCTTTGCTCTAATCGACTCAGATTGCAACAATAACAGCAACGCCAACGAGATAATCATTGCAGTATCAACAAAGCGAACATTCTCTCACGACGTCTGCAGTCTACTCGTAGCAACAGTCGTTGGTGTTGGTAGTACCACGAAGAATAATTGCTTCCATTGCGGTTGCCGTTGCTCTACTCATCTACCTACTGACCTCTCTACCTGCGACTACGGCTAGTAAAATGACTGCCACCCCTGCAGGCGCAAAGCCCTGATGGAACCAACAGCAGCAGCAGCTGCATCGCGAACGTGATTATCGAAAGCTTGACATTGTCGTTGTCGGTAGCAAAAAAAAAAGCCAGCGAAAATCGCAGCAACAACTTCCACGTTATGACGGTAGATGGAGGCGGTGGTGTGGTCGGTTCGGCGTCAGCTGGCGACCGCCGCTTGGCCGCCTCGTGCTTCTCGTTCCTCCACTGGCTGATGCTGTCAGGTCACCAGCAAACAACGCGGCCGACAATGGAAGAGTCTACCGCGCCCCCTCCTCCAAAGAGTTATTGAACGAAGCTGCAGCTTCTGGAAGAGCCAGGATTGCGCGTGAGCCTTTTAATGCGTTCTTCTCTCTGCGTTGCTCGTTCCTCAAGTGCCGGAGTCGGTCGTCAGTCGCCGGTCGCATTCGCTGTTATTTGAGCTGTTTGCTGCCGCCCCATGCGCGGTTGTCGTCGCCATGAGTCGCCTTATGTTGTTCACACAAACCGAGACCAGCGTTCCGTGTGCAGCTGCGCCGTCGTTGCGGCTGGCGTTACTGACGAGATGTGTCAGAAAAGGTATAATGTCGGCAGCTTCGCCTTGAAAGCAACACGAGCAGCAACAGCACCATGTGCTTTCGATGGTGATGGCTGGTGGACGGCCGAGTCAATTCGCAAGAACTTAACGTGGAAACTCGTCCATTCTTCTTCCTATAGCGCGTAACAGTTCACTCGCCTCAAAGGCCAAAACGAACCGGCCAACAACGCACTGCTGCTGCTGCTGCTACAATACAGCAACGGGACGGACAAACGAATGGGCAACCGTCGACCCATCGTCGATGGCCCGGCAGTCCAACCGGCCAACTTAGATATCTAACTACTCCGGCGGCTACTGCTGCTACTATTATCATCACTAGCAATAACATCGGCTAAGTAAATGAACCAAGAACGAACATGTTGCTGGTGTGCGATGTCATCAATTAATTCGTAATACTCGACATCGCATAGATGAGACGCACACACACACTCACCACACAGATCGTCATTCGCGCGCATATTCTCACAGGACTCACACAAAGGCTTTGATATACTCGTGCTAGCTAATATAAACACCTTTGGCATTCGCGGCAACTGCCAGTAGCTGGCCTAATATAACGTACATACATATGACCGAGGAATGAAGTTGTAAGACTGCCATAGACGTAATAAAAACTGTAAGCATTCCCGGAATCAACACCCAAAAACTAATAGGAATATCTTTTAAAACTACTTTATATTTTTTCCAATTTGAAAGCTGCTAAGTAGTTTCACAGACGAAGCCATTAGTAGTAGCTACTTTGGTTGCGTTCATCTTAGCACGGGACCCGAACCAAAAATACTTGCCTTTTTTGTCGCCCAAAACACGACTGTTGTGCAAATTTTGTCAATAACAAGACTAAATTCTTAATGGTAAGGTGCTACCACATGCCACTCTTCCCACACTACAAAGGCAATTTTTGAGCTTTTAGGAAAACACGCAGTACGTGAAAGAAACGTATATGACATTGGCGTAAATGATGACAATGCAATTTTGTCAAATAAAAAAAAGTACACATGTACATAGATAAGGCTATGGACCCATAGTGGATGCATACCCGAAATTAGCCACGCCCTGTTCAATGTTCTACTTATTTCGACAAAACACATAATCCCGACGCATGCTCGACACGTTGCTAGCGTATTTGATAACTGCAGTAGCAGGCGAACTGCTGCCAAATCGAGTTTCGTTGAACTACTGACAACATATCCTGAGCTGTGCTCTACCTGCCCTCATCGAACTAAATGCTGACGCTAAAAACAACAATAACATCATCAATCAGAAGAGTAATCATTTCACATGTTTTGATCCAGTAGCTAAATCTAATGGGTCATCTTCGACTAAATTCAACAAAAGCAAACAACTGAGTAAATAGCTTATAGAATCTAGAAAATCGAACCTTCTTAGGGCCTAAACGAACGCAACTGCTTCTGGAAATGAAACTTCGTCCGATTTAGCAACAGCTAGGCAAATTCTTCACGTAATTTCTATTTACCGTCAGCTTACCCGTCCCACAGAACTGACTGTTGCTCTGGAAGCAGTTTGCGCTCCTACTGACAATGGCGATCATCAGTGGCCACAGCGAAGCTTCTAGCAGCACCGTGACCTAAAGCGAAATGCTTAGAAATCGGCGTCCAAACTGCTAGTATCATAGCGGAATAGAAATGAAACGCGTCTGCACACGCCGTCGTGCCTATAAACAGCCAACGGCCGTTGCTTCATTTGAATCTGGCGCCATACTCGAAAGTGGCGCCGGGTCGACAATCGACGCGGGAAAACGCGTATTTCATCGAACATTTCAGCAAACGGCTAATTAAACGCCATATTCTAGCCACAACTGCTACTCCTCGCTGTTCACTGTCAAATTTGTAGCATTAAGTCGCTCTACCCAGATCGAGAGCAAATACTCATCGGCGCGGCGTTGCTTGGCTGTAACCATGACGAGTCGGCGTCTGTTCCGAGCTGATGTCGGTTCCATAGGCTGACCGGCAAGCGGCGGCACCGCCATGCCGCCACACCCAGCCGCAAGCGGTGGCACGGAAGTCACGGGAAGACTGCGAAAAATCGCTGTCAGCGATAATCCATTACGACTAATGTTTCACGGACAGGAGTGTTTGTAAACAGTTCAGATCAGTTTCGTGTGGACATACTGCCACCTATCGTAACCGCTTCCATAGACCTGTCTAGCTTCTGTACCGGAGCTGTGGTGACACGCAGGCCGCGGCGGTGGTAGCACCAACAGCACAGTGCTTGTTCGTTCTCGGTTGACCAGCAAGTTAGTCGATTTTTGACACAGCCAACCAGCTATGAACAAACAACGCATGCCAATTCCAATAGGCGGCGATGGGGAACAGGGCGTACGATATGTACGATATAGACACAGAGGCATCAATGCAAACGAAATTCTTTCAACGTCCTTCTCTCAACAACCAGCAGAGAACATGTAGAAACTTACCTTAGCTCCGATCTGGTTGCCACACTGGCCAGTCTGAATGTGCACAATCTCGCGCATCTTGACTTTGTCGTCCGAGAACTGAGAGCTTTACCGTCAGCGTAGAAAAGTCGAAAACTACTACAAAGACCGCAGAGCGCACAGACACCACGTCCCAAGCAGAGCTGCGAGACAACTGAGCTAACGATTACTATCCGCCTATTGGCGACTGCGTTCGCAGGCTCCTTGGAGAGGGCGGCACGGGCGGGACAGCCTGTCACCAATATCAACATTGCACTTAGCCACCGCGTTCAACAAATAAACTTACTGTTTTTCAGTGACTCCATTTGTTGATTTTAACGTCCTGCATTGTTGAATTTTGACGAAGACATCTGAAATCGTTGCATGTAAAATTATAGCGCACCGAAATAGCTATTTCCACAAAATACTTTAAATCAGATTTGTTTCATTGTACGCTCGATGTATACCCTTTAAAACAGCTGCAGCATGAGAGAGAGCCGCTCCGGCGGGGAATTTAAATAATCGATGGTATCGCCGCCTGGTGGGGAAATAAGTACGCAAGATCGGGCGAGCCCCAGAATCGGTTCACCTCAGAAGCAACCCGTGGTCCTATCACTGCCTCCGATGGGGAGGCTCCGTCTGTGCACTGCAGGCATCGCTCGGCATTAAACCACGAGCCAATATTGGCTAAAATGACCGGTCGATTCCGCCTGTAAGCTGATTACAAATCGAATGAGTCGACTGAGGCAGCAATCGAGATCAGAAGCCATACATAGAGGACAGCAAAATCGTTTATTGCATCGAGATGCGTATTTGAACAACGAGAATGGAAGCGCTAATCGAACGAGCGGCGGCGGCGGCCATGGCGCTGATCTTCGCACGTTTGCTTCGTTTCCTCGTGACGACTTCGAATATGGAATAACCGGACGCGAAATCTGAGAGTTAACGGCTAAATCTAGCCTTGAATGCGGCTAGGAGCCGTCAGTTGTCGTTGACAAAGATATGGGAAACTCTGCGCCATGAACAAGATTAGAGGCAAAACGATGCTTCATAGCAAAGAAGAAAACACGAAATAAAAAAAAAAAAGCCTCTACAATGTTTACTTACGTTCACGCAGTAAAGACGATAATAGCCATAGTAACAGAGATTAGATACAAGCAGTAAAATAAAATTATTTACACTCGAAATAAAGAAAAAATTCCGGTTAGTGAAAAGTGACCAAAGATTTGACTTTTGAGAATATAAAGGTTCCCTGAATAAGTCATTCGTGAAAGTTTACTAGCTTCGTCTACTACTGCTTACAAAATATTACGAATAGTACTATAGTGACAGTGTACGGTGGACATAGTAACTGTCGGGATTAAGAGTACTAATTTACAGCAATTATGTACTCTTTTTTATGAAAGTATTTGACTTGATGCCGAGCACTTATGTATATATATATATATATATTAGCATGATTATATCATCTTGTGGGTGTTGCTAGCGATGTGTCTGGCATCTTCAAATGAACGTGGAGGTAGAATGACTCTTTTTTGTACTGTTTCAAAGACTACGATCGAGAGATTTTGCCAGATTTATTTGAATTTCTCCAATACACCTATCCTATGCGGCAAATTAACCATTAAAGATCAAATCAATCTGCAGCACATCAGCTTTCGCTTGGTCACTTGTTGATGGGAAGAACTTTTCAGAACCGGTGTCCCGATGGCTAAACTGTGTAATGGTCGGAAACGGAATGTTATTATTTATTCAAAACATGTATTAGTGGCCTACCATTGACTTACCCTTAACAGAGAAGTAACGTTCATTTCGCACTGCAAGTCCTGCGGGACTGTGCTTGTTTCTGTTCCATAATACTACGACTTATTTCTATTTCAATTATTTGAGAACGAAAAGTAATTTGAGAATCTCCTTAGCGATTTTTACTTCACACCTCAAAGTGGGCTAAAAGCTATTATGTAATTTATGTGGTGATCTTTCAAAGCCGAGTGGGTCAGTAACGAAAGTAGTACAAACTTGAAAGTGTATGAATTTGAAGTTCCCATTGATCTTGATGCATTATAACGTTTGCAGTGAGTGTTACGCTTTACCCTGGGCCCTGTTCTCTGTGTAATATGCTCAACATTAGGAGAACAAACAATCTGTATTTATTATAATTACCTTATATCAATAAAAGAACGCCTAACGCAGCGAGAGGATTATCCCTACGAAGCAGCACTAAAGATGCTTACTTTGAGAAAAAGGAAACCTGCTCTTTCACAGGCGCATCGAACTAATGATATGATTAAATAGAATTAGCATCACCTCGTACTTTATTCATAGATTATACAAGCCTGCATTCACTTAGTAACTTCAGTAATATTTCAATTGAATTAATATTTTGTTGAACAATAAAGAAGACTTGTATGTGATTTTTATAAAAATCGTATCTTAAGCTAAGCTAAGCGTTGATTTTTTACGTTCAGCATTCTAGATTAGAACACGATGTCGATGAACATTGGGCAATTATGACTTCTGGCGCTATTTGGACCCCAAGGATCATTGCACAACTGGAAGACCTGGAAGCACTATTGTAACCTAACACAATGTAGACTCTGTATTGAGTTTAGAATACATATGGTTTGACTGCATATAGTATGATCACAGATAACAATGATCCTGCGCAATATTTAAAAGCTGAGCTAGAATTATTTCGAACCGAACGAAATTGCCAAACCACAGCATTTTTCGCAGCTGATATTAACGCGCCAGCCGCAATGTCGTTCGCAGTAACTGTAGCAGTCTAGTAAAACCACGCTGACCATAATAACTAAAACAAGAGATGTAACGGTTATTTATGCCGCAAAAAAGTCAATATTTTCGGACAATATGAAGGGCAGTGCGCACAAAAGAAGTTCGATGTTTTGCATAGTAGCAAGTTGAAAATTGATTCAGTTACATGCGAACACTCACCGATAGTAGGACTCATATCCCCTTCGATCATGATTTCCTATACTTCTGACGAACCGTCTGTGACTCTTTTGTTTGACCTCGCATACATTACAACGAATGCATGCGGAGTTCTAGACTAGCACGACTCAGACGGATTCAAACTCTTAAAATTCTATCTGCAAACCCAATTATCTACTATTCTATCTAAATCTATTAATCTTAAAAAACGTTTGTAAGCTATTGAGCTCAACGCGATCGCTTCGACATGATTATTTACCGGAATAATTTGCGCTTTTGCAGCTACTAAAGGGCTTATGTATCACATTATAGGTGGCGTTGGATAGGTTTTTTTTTTAATATCAACGTTTTAAATTTTGTTAAAAATAATATTCAGTACCATGTGAATTAGAGATGTGACATTTCCCGTTTAGGTCCAAGTAGATTACTTCTCATGTACTCTAACAGAAGACATCAGTCAGCTAACTTCTACTATTCAAAGGGACACAGTGTAAAAAGGAGCAGGATGTGCTAACGCTAAATACATAGTGCAGGCATACATTTTCCGACGGAAGCCGGCTCGTTTAGATAATTATTCTCCATGGACAATGATTTATGCTTCTTATTTGCCGTCTATAATGATCATCCGAGGATAATAGTGAAAAGTAATAGTAGCATTTAAGCAGTTCGTCCGTTGCTGCTAAGTAAAAATAAATAGTTTACGTAAAGCTCAACATTAGTTCCAGCGCTACTGGTAGCGAAAACAGATGTGCGAAGATTTCACAGTTATTCGTATTGATGCCCCACAAAAAATCAAGAAAGCGGCAAATGTGAGATTTTTGTTCAACAATTGTGCAAGCTAACGATTGGATGACGCCATAGTGTTGAGATTTTACCGTTCTCCCATATGCCTAACTTCGCATCTCGGGAGCACCGTCGGAAGCTCTATCAATGGCAATCCCGTTTCGTTGTATGTTATCTGTTGCTCGATGATTCCGTTTGTATTACCAGCATTGGTCGAACGTTTCTTAGGTAGCTCTTTGTTTACTTTAGTTAGCTACGCTGACCGTTTACCAGTTTGCACCAAGTGACACTTTCACACGTGCTATGCAAGATGCTATGGCCGTGCTATGAGCAAGTGCTTATAGCCTACGATGGTAGTTCACTTCTCCGATGGCGACTTCGTGACACTGCAGTGACTTCGCCAGCATGAAGAAGCCCATTTTTTCTTATCCGTCCTTCATGTACCACTTTTTGATACGTGCACAATGTATGCTCAGTGCTATGGGACGATGCTACATGGGGCTTTTGACGGTGCAGGTGCCGGTGCTATCGGCGGCTACGGAGATACTGGATGATAACTACGCTTCTAGCGGTGTACTGATTTAACGCAATAATAATGTTTACGGTGGTCATTTTGTCGGCGGTGCTCTGCGGTAGTTGTATAACATTTTTATGTTCGTTGTTAATTTTTATTACACTTCAATGACGCTAGCGGGGACGAGGCCCGATATCGAATACAACAGTTGATTAAGGAGAAAAATTCGTTCCTTTTCGGATGCTCCCGTTTTCGTTTTGCTGGAAGTATTTGCTTTTTTGGAAGCAACTCATATGCCAACTAGGAAGGAGAAATCTATAGAATATATAATATACCAGCGCACAACTTAGACTTAGATGAGCGTAAGATATGTAGAATGCATCTGATAAACGTTTATATTTGGTCGAAATATTCCATTAAGACGAAATAACAAAAAAAAATTATAAAAACAGACGTCGAAAAGAAACTAAGATGTCTATTTAGGTAGGCCTATTCAGTAGACCAACGCACCAAGATTGGCATAAAAAGGTCTAAATGCAAGCCAGGCCAAGATTAGTAAGTTCTTCAGAATTAACGTTGTGAAAACCTCAGAGGACCAACAGGACTTAGCACGTAGAAGGACATCATCAAGTACGGTACAACTTCGAAGCAAGATTAGCAGATTTTACTAATTTATCAGACAAACAAAAATAGAAGTGCTTTTCTCATTTCGTATAAAATTTCCTTCACGGGCTACATTAGAAAGAAGCATATGTATATATATATCTCAGTCGAGGTCCGGTTTAATTTTTGTTTATAAAATCTGCTCGATTGGTCACTTTTCATGGACATATGTTAATAATATTATGAATGGTTATGCTGTTTCTGCAGAGATAGATTCGCTGGGTTAAACATTCATATAGACTAGCAGATATATTC